GGGGGGGGGGGGGGTGATATGTGGCAGATGCTAACTATAATTCTTCAGACTAATTCGAATAGTTAAACTTTCACGGTTAACTAAATACACGTAATTTATAAAATAATTATTAGGACTCGATACCAAACCCACTACTATCACGAGTCCAAAAAATACATAGTCGATCCACACATCCACTACAAAGATCATTAAAACAATAAAAGATGGCCAATATGTTAAATTTAGTTTTTAACCAACATTAGGTACAATTAAAAAAAAAATCAGAATGGAAAATAAGCAAATGGAAAGAAAGGAGGAAGAGGGGGGGGGGCGTGTTGGAATTGTCAAATATGCCACATCTTGTAAATGTAGGGTCCCTGTTACTAATGAATAAGGCCCTACCAAAAAAAAAAATAACAATAATACTCAGTTATTGAATAATAGGAGAGAGAATGACACAACATTGAGAAAAGAGTTGGTGGGGGAAGGGATGTTGTGTTGTGTAGTGTAGACAGCAGAGTAGATAGAGGCCTCATTGGTTCTATCACAAAAGCCTGTGAAGATTCATTTTGGCACCTTCTTGTCAGATGTGCAGGACTTGGTAAAACTGGAGTATATATTATATATATAAAGATCACCAAAGTCAATTTTGAATTATCTACTTGTTTATAATTTGTTATTGTTAGGGTTTAATTCAAAGTGCACTCAAGGAGGTTATTATTATTCATCATGTGATTGTGTGTTCATAATGTGAATGGGTCCCATGTACTTTTTTTTTTTGGTATTATACATTTTATTTTCGACTAATAAGAATGTAATATATATAATTTTTTTAAATAATTTTATCTTATTTTATTATTTTTAATCAATAATTTTTTTGCNTGTACTTTTTTTTTTTGGTATTATACATTTTATTTTCGACTAATAAGAATGTAATATGTATAATTTTTTTTAAATAATTTTATCTTATTTTATTATTTTTAATCAATAATTTTTTTGGGCATTTGTCTTTCTCCTATCTCACATATACGCACACAATTATAAGGTAAAATTTTAGAATTATTATAAAAAAAATCACATGTATTTGGGACTTTCAATTTCACTAAATTAGCTCGTAAACAATGTATTGTTTGGTAACAATTTTTTAAAAGCGAAAACTAATTTCGACAAAAAATAAAAAACTT